CACATGATATATACATGATATGTAAAAAAAAACGAGTTCAAATTGAATGTTATATGAACATATTTTGCTTAAATTTTGTTTATAAACTGAAAGAAATTTGTTTATTTGTAAATTTAGTTAATGTACATAATAATACATACTTAAATTTGTTTGTAAAATATATATAAAATATATATTAAATAGCAAGTTATTTTAATAATTAAGTATCGCTAATCGATATTAATTCCTTCAAGATTCTATTTCTTTTTGTGAGTTGCTTAACGAATAGTTAATGGTTTCTTAACTTTAATGAGTCTTTCAGCTTCTACTACCGCTATAGACTAGAGGTCTGCAAACGGGACTTGGAACCCGGAAACCCTAACTCGGCCCGGATCCGGATCTGGGTTTGGGCTGGCAAACTTTCTTCAAAATTCACCTGTGCTGGGTCCGGGCCAGCACATGAATTTTCGTTGAACCCGGATTTTCATAATTCTGGCCAAAATCGCCTTAATTCTGGCCGAAATTAAACTGGCCAAAATTAAGTTGGCCGATTTTTTTGTTTTTACAACAAAATGATATAATAAAAGTCCGGGTCTGGTCCAGACCAGGTTTTTAATATTTTAAGTCTGGGCCGGGCTGGGCCGGGCACTTTATGTTAATTTCCAAGTGCAGGCCAGGCCGGATTGTAAAATAGTGGTCAATGCAGACCTCTATTGTAGACTTTCTTTTACAGATTATCTGTGAGAAATTAATTGACTATTAATTTTGTCAGATTTTTTGGATTTCACTGTTGCAGATTTTCTTTTACGAGTTGAGTTGCATCACCAAAAGAACCAGATGTCTACAAAAAAAAAGACAAAATTTTTTAATAAAAAAACAAATTAAAAATATTATTACTGATAAGTTTTGAATAGAAACTTACTACATCAGCATATCCAAGTCCCAAAGCCGAAGAAACTGATATCTACAAAAAAAAGAAAAATTAAATTAAAAAAAAAATTTTTAAAAAAAATTTTGAACCATTGAGCCCATGCGTTCAAAGATTCTGAAGAAACAGCAGCTTACAAAAAGAAGAATAAAAATGGAATGTTATACGTTTCATTGAAAGTATTATTTACAAAAGTCAAAAACTTCCTTACTGAATTTCCTCCTTATAGTCTAAGCTGGCATTCTACAAAAAAATACAAAACGAAATGTTAGTTGTTCCTATATTTAAATAAAAAAATCTTCTTCCTTTTTCCTCTTTCCCTATTTTTTACCTTCAAGTTTAGTTTGTGTCTAAGCCAGTATCCTATAAAAAAAAAGCAATGAAAAATAAACATTAGTTTATTTTTTAAATTTAAAATGAAAATTCCTCTCTATTTCTTACCTTAAAGTTCAGTTTCATGTTCAGCTAATGCCTTACAAAAAAAAAGATAAAAAAAAGTTTCACCTCCTTCTCACCTTAATGTCCAGTTCGTTCTGGCTGGTAGTTTCTACAAAAAAAAAAATGAAATGTTAGTAAAACATTTCTACAAAGTTAATTTTAAAAAAAGCTCTTACCTTCCAAAGCTAAAATGGAAGCCAAAGGAGCTTATCTATGTACTTACAGACCAAAGCTAAAACAAATAAAATGCCATTCGTGAAAATTTTGTTTTTAAGAAAAATAAAATTATATATTTATTTACCTTTATCCAAGAGGAATCAAAGTCAAAAAGATCCTAAGAAAATTTAAAAAAAGGTTTAAATATTAACTTTTTTAATTATCTTTCACTATTTCAAATATTCGGCAAAGTCAAATATTAGTCTAATTTGACTACTAACTTATTAATATTATGTCAATAAAATTTAATCTATATATGGATTAATACTGTAATTGTTTATATAAATTGAATTAACTTTATTAATTCATATTGCAATTGCATCAGTACATTAATAAGAATATTCTTTGATTATCCCTATATTAGGAAATATTAACAATTGAGAAGATGATTGAATGATGTAACTTTTTTAGAAGAAATTTTTAATGCCGATTTTTGTTTTTATTTTTATAATCCAAGCGCACACATAGGTAAAATGAACTAAATAAACTTAAAATATATAAGCAAGAAGTTCCAAACTATTACACTACAAAACTGCCTATAAAGACAGCATCGCTCTGATAGGAATTGGAATCAAAAATCAAATCTTTTCAAGATTTTTCTTATAGACGACCAACCTGACTTTGAATCAGTTTCTAATTTCAGTAAAAATAATCAGCACTTGGCCGGCATCAAAAATTACTTTGGAGTCAGGTTAACTTATATGTAAAAAATTGCTGAGAATCGATTCTCGAGAATCGATTTTACTATGTTTTGTCAATTTTCGATTAATCAATTCTAATCCCTACGCTCTGATGTTAGGAAAAAGGAATGAAACCATTCCAAGATACAAGAAATAATTATTGATTATAAAAATTATAGATGAGAACTATAGAGAAATGTTATGAAAGCGATTTATATCGCAATACAAACTATTTAAATCTATGTCTAGAAAAAGGAGATAATCCTGGTGAGATTCCCACGTTCCAGAATGGAGAAAAATTATTTTTAGCCGATTTATTTATTATATTTGTTTTTTTTTTGTATGAACTTTTTATTTCATTTGTATTTACATTAATATTGTGAAAATTTGGAGTAAAGATGAGAAAATTAGTTGTATTAGTCATATAAGCTGATCACCAGCAGATAAGTGAATGAATCATCATTTTTTCGCAATGATGAACCTTAAAAGGAACCAACTTTTAAGGTTAAGTAATTCATTATCTTAATTGTGCATGGCTATTCAGTTCATGAAAATATTTTATAAAATTTAATATACAGATACGAGACCTCCAGACCCCATCTTAAATTTACTATTATTATACTACCTTTTTTCAGACGGCTTGTCTCCAATAGTAACCCATATAGTAAATAATTGATAAAGATGAAGAATGGTCATATACTGTAATTTCAAATAGTTGCATTATCAATTATTGTACAAATTGTAAAAATATGTCAGTTATTGTATAATTTTGTAGACAGAATGGTTTTTATTTTGCACGAAGTTTGAACAATATTTGTTATTGTACATATAAATAATCAATTATCATACAATTTTTATAACCAATAATATACAATCGCAAAAATTTGTTTATTTTACAGACAAATAATGACTCTTTTGTACATTTTCTGAATATATTCAATATGATTTGTGTACAAACTGTTTTTATATGGCGCTAATTATTCAAATGGACAAAGAATCAATTTATTAAATAAAAAAAATTCTAATTTGTAAATTATGTAAGCAATCACATAATACATATAAAAGCCAATCAAAAGCTAGAATTTAATTATTGACCAAACTACCCTAGCGGCCTAGCGTTCCCAAATCCCAAGAAAAAAAGCACTTGTCACGTGACCGTGTAAAAATCATCACATCCGTCACACCGTGTTTTCATTGTTTATATTTATCTGAGAGCGAGTTGGTAAAAACTTATTCGTCACATATTATTTGTCACCGCACAGTTCACGTGACAGGAATAATGCCGGCCACCAAGTGCTTTTTTTCTTGGGAACGCTAGGGTAGTTGATATTCCACTTGAACAAGCAGAAAGATTGGCTCATTAAAAATTGATTATCACGTGAAATCAGAAATTTTTATTGGTAATCAGTGTTTATTATCATGTGAAATCTGACCAATAAACGGATTTTCAAAAATGCAAGTGTTACGTCTAATATATTTATTTGGTATATTTCAGGAGTCATACATATTCAAATAAAGTGAGATTTGTGCAGTTATACAAATTTCTTTTTTTGATAGTAATGTGGGCTTGTATAATCAAAAAAAATATTGGTGTACAGTTAATAATTGATTTGTAGTTTCGTGCATATAGGATGTGTATAATGTATGTATAATATATATAAAATATAAACAGTAATATATATATATGTATATATGTAAATTTTTTTGAGTACAGGAAAATCTTATGAATTTTATTAATCTATTAAAAAAAAAGGCAAATGAGAAAAAAAAAATATTCTTTATTCTACTTTCAATTTATTAATAAACTTTATCGTACAGTGCTCAGTTTTGCATGTACATTTCGTTTATTTCATTTAAACGCTCCGGACAATTCCTTTTAAGGACATGAAATCTCTCACATTTTCAAAACATATTACAAATTTATCTAAGCGTTGTATGCTTGAAACAGTGTAATATGTTTAATAATATTAAGGCAATTTCATAGATTTTCATCATTATTTCCAGTTTTAGAATAAAGAGAATGTCAAAAAGAATTCTTTGTTTAAATGTATTAAATTATTGTTTAGAAATGATTGTAAACTTTTGACTGCGGTTATATTTTTCGATTACTCAAATATTTAAAATATATTATGGATAAAACGGATTGTTATTAAAAATACAGAAAAATGACAAAGGTTACAGGTATATCCGAGTCAGTAAATGCGCTTCAATTTTTTTGATAACGATAATTTTTTTTAACAAAGTACTTCAACGAATAAAAAAAGGTCAAATAAACGTATAATTCATAAATTGTTATGTTTTAGTGGCACAGGAGAAAATTTTATAAAGTTCCTAGAGAATTCAACGAAAACTTTTTTTTAAAAAATTAACAAAAAAATATCTAGACTCTATCTTAAAGACGTTCTTTTCCTTGAAATTTGCAGGATGATCCAAAAGTTCTATTTTCGTGTGATAGAACTTATGGGAAACTTTAGCGTAATGTTTTATCAAAAATATATATTCTACTTACATAATTAATTATTTTTCATAAAACAAAAAGAAATTAAATTTTTTATTTACAATAAAAAGCTTTTTGAGTTTGTGATACATGATCATCACGATTCTTTGTAAATATAAAACTCTTGTAAATACTAAATACAAAGTGCGTTTAATCATGAGTAACAGCCTAAAACGGGATATTTTTCTTTGTATTTAAAAGATATATATACCCGCTCACAAAAATTGTTGGCATGATAAAAAAGGTACTTCATAGATATCTTTTAATAATTTTTATCTCTTCGTTATCTTCTTAATAATTTTAACTCCCAGCAATAGTGCTTACTAGCTTGACTTCCAATAGCTACCCACCCACATAAAGCACCTTATTACCTTATTTTTTTTTCTTAAAAATGAATTCACTAGTTATTCTTTATAAAATATTTCGTAAATTTTATAGAGAATTAAAGCGCATAGAAAAAATTTTCTTGTATACATATATTATAGATATGGTCACATATAGTTTTCTGTTCATTGCCACTATGGTCTTAAGTGGAGATGCCGAAATTAATTACATACTTTTTCCAATATTACTTTTTCCTACAATATCAGGGTTAATTATGGTAATATAATGTTTTATACTGAAGATTGTTTAATATATTTAATACTAGTAATTAATTTATTTTATTATTTATAGTTCTATGGTAAAACTGTTTACCATGGATTAGCATTCCTTGGTGTACATTCGTTTCCTGTTTTTGGAGGAATATCTTATTTTTTCACTCAATATTTTCATTGCAGAGACAAAACTACCGTATGTAACGCAAATAATCCAATATATTATGCAGGTGTGGGTCTTTTAGTTGCACTTGTAGTTATATTTCAATTGCTACATACATTATATGTGTACTTAATATGGAAGAAAAGGTAAATGATAATGTCTTTTAATTGCGTAACAAAAAAAAATAATAATTAAATTTACTTTTTATTTCATTTTTTTTATTTAGAATATGGCCTTTAGTATATGAATTCAAACATTCTAGACATGACGAGATTAAGGGTAAATAATTCATTTATTCAAATCCTTCAACATATAGTATATATGTTTAATTTCTAAATTCTTCTCTTTCTTGCTTAGGGATGCATGCAACCTATGAAGTACAATTTCCATTGTTCCATGCCCAAACTATGATGATAGGGTTATGGTTAGTTGCCTATTTGACAGGAGTAATTGGTATAGACCTGGTTTTACTAACAAAAAGACGAATTAGGGCTCGAAATTTATTTATAAATTATCTAGTGCCATTTAACATAATTTTTCTTTATTATTCGTTTTTTATGCTCAAAGGTGTAAGTACATTGTTTTTTTGTTCTTTAATATATTGTTATTATACTAAAACAAATTTGCTTTTATGCATATACCAACATATTTAGGTGAGGGACGAAAAACGTTATTTGATGTACATTGTATACGTCGGAAATGTTATTCAAGCCATATTCTTATATCTTGATCTGGAAAGTTACTGTAAAAAATACGCTTTTATTAAAAAATTAGATTCCCCGTTACAATGCCTTCAGTATAATATGGTTATTAATATGTTTTCTTTATACGGTAATACTACTAATTTCACATATTTTATATTGTTTTTAAATTAGTAAATTATACTAATAATCTTTTTTAAAAATATATACATATATTATTAGCGTGTTTATGTTGGATTGTTTTGGCATTATCAACATGGAACACCATTAGGTGTCATAAAAATTTCAATAAAAATATGTCAACATATAGTATGTAAATTTTGTTCTTTATTCTCTTTATTCATTTTTTACTCAATACTAATAACTAGTTAACTCTTTAATAGTAACATACGAACCAGCTCCTCCCGAATTTAAAACCGGGAGAAAATTTGTAAAAAGAGAATCAAGTGAGCCAAAGTATTCACACATCGTCTAAATAAACAAATAATTGAAGATTAATATTATAAATTTTAAAAATAGATTTTAAAGCTAAATTTTTTTAGAAAAATGTACAATTATTTAACAAACTAAATAACGTAAAAGTTTAATATAGATAAGTTTTCTCTCTAACAAATGAAATAACTAAAGCAGCAAGTTAAACCTATATTATGAAATAAAATAATTCCGTCAGTATAAAACGAAAAAAATGTGATAATAAATCGTGATGATATGATAGCGTGATATATTTCTTTGTACTTTAAGCGATATTAAACAATAGCCAGCAATAGCGCAATATACACTAATTAAAATTCATGGCTCATTACGAACGGAACTCGATAAAATAATTCGTGATAACCTATTGAAACTATCTTCTCAAGCCAAAATAAATTATTGATATAAATTTAACGATATTTCAAATACCTAAATCTAAATTTATTCGTGATTAACCGATCGATATAGATGCTCGATTACAACGACATCACGATATCATGTAAAAAAAATAAAATGACTTCTCTTGTAATAATATCCTTAATATGTTTAAATATGTTAACCATTTTTTTTTTTTTTTTTNATGAAACAATTATGTAAATTAATAAAAAACTAAAAAAGAAAATTCCTTATTTATTAGAAAAAATAACATATCATTATCGTTTTTTTTTTTTTTTTTTTTAAAAAAAAAAACCTGTTTGATATGTTTGAAGAATTTTTCTTTCAGATTATTCTTAATGTAACGTATGTTAATTTATAAATCATAAATAATTGTTATTTTAGGCAGGTGTAAATCAAAACCATCGTCTTTTAACAATTTAACAAAGAAATGTAACAAAAAATGTACCATATTTCACACTGTTTTAAGAAAAAAGCGTGCTACATTGTCTATTAGGACAAAGAAGAGCTTTGTCTTAAAAAAACTTCAACTTAAAATACCGAACTTGCTAAATATCCCTGAAAAAAAAATCTGGAAAAACTCCAATAAATGATCATTTTTATAGGGTATTATACTAACTCTGATATAGTTAGTGATATTTTAATTCATCACTAAATTTTTTATGCGCAGATCAATAGATCGATCATTAGTATTACATCACGTGATATCCCGATACATAATTTTATATCAATATTTTGACATGCACAATATTTTGCAATAAATTGTAAAATAATATTCCTATTTTTGCGCAAAAAATTAACAATTTAAATACTTTACAATAATGTGCAATATTGAATCCTCCAAAATTTAGTGATGTTATTTATTTTTAGTTTTGAGCAAAGTAGATATAAATAGGTTTCGATAGTCAATGTAAAAAGAAATACAACAAGTATTTGGATATCTTAGTGAACGTGGAGATACAGCAGATAAATTTTGGTAATACATTTAGAAAAAAGAAATAATTTCCGAGCTGGCATATGATAAATTTTTGGGTAAATTTCTTCAAATTTTATATCTTTTCTTCCCACATTCTATATAATTGTCCTCCAAGCGTAATAGTTTGCGTAATGTTATATATTAAAATATGAAAAATATTATTTTATATTTTTAGTCATATACACATTCTCAAATGATAGACTTTTATATCCGTATAAACCAGAAACATGACTAGCTATTTTGAGTATTTTATTATTTTTTTAATCTACCCCATCAAATGACTCAAATGACTGGTCACGTGACGTTTAGCAACAAATGACGGTTTACAGTTTAAATATTGAATTACTTTCCGATTCTAGTATATGCAATTCGCACTACTGTAGCTTAGTTCACTTTTAGAAATAAAAAAAAATATGTAATAGATCGTATATAGTTGTTACTTCAGTTGTTATATTTACTTTATTTATTATATATTATATGAATATTTTACTAGTTTTATTAGTCGTATATTATATAATTATTATATTTATTTTATTGATTATTATTGTTATGTCAAAATATATAGTTAATTTTATATAAATACAATGCTGCAGACAAAATGAGAGGTGGAAAACGCTCTAGGTTATTTAGTTTAAGAATTAATTTAAGTATTAATAGATCCTTTATTACATTTGATTGATATGTCAGGGTAGTTGCTGTACTTTATTCATGTTTGATTAGATTATTTGTATTAATTTCTTATTTTTCTTATTTTAATAACCTGTTACCTTTTCATTTGATTACATTTGTAAACACTAAAAGAACTGGCGTAACAATAGTTATATTCTGATAAATAATTTTGGATAATCAATCTATTTATTTCCAGAAAAAAAAATTCATTTAAAATATTTAAATAAGCTATGACACATTATCTCATTTATATTTATAAATGAAATAAAAGAGAGTTAGATGAAAAACTTTCATTAATTAATCGAAGTACATTTGCTTTTTTTAATTTATAAAGAATTTTACCTTATGAATTCAACCAGTTTTTTTGACTTTCTATGTAATTTTTACATTTTATTCAATAAATTGTTCTGTTTACCATCATGTGACATCAACACAAATAGATAGTAACAACGCCGTAGTTATGTATGATCATGTATTCAGTTATTGTACAATAATTACTAGAACTTATTAGTGCTCTAATTCAAAACAGATCACGTGACTCAGACAATAGATTTTTTATCAAAGAACCTTATTCAAGTCTGCTCACATTCGATGGACTTCTAATTTTTTACATTCGAGTATATACAATAGATTTATTTCTTATAATTTAATTTTTTTCTTCTCTGTCTTTTCATATTTGTTTTTATTTAGTTCGCAATTTTATTTTTCTGCTGGTGTGTGCTATTTTGTTTATGTTAACTATTCCCTATAAAAAATTTTCCAGAAAATGATCACGTGTCGTAAAAGTTGTCTTCTACTAGGCGACTTGGTTTACAGTTTTCTATTTTGTACTACTTTCGATTCTATCTGCATAAAGTCTCTTGTAGTCTGTACTGAAACTTTCTTTACTCTGTGAAATAAAGATAAAAATAAAAAAAAAATCATGAAAATCTACTATGAAATTGCTTAATTTGTCAACTTAATACTCAAATCGGATATTAAGCGAATATTATCCCATTTTTCCCATTTACTGTTTCAAACATACAATACCTGTATCTTTCATATTTTGAAAGTTAAAGGATTTCATTTCTTTAAAAGGGATCAGAGGAAATTAAAAAAGCTTAATTACAATTTTATCATTATTAAGCGCAATACGTTTCAAATTAGCGTTTAAAAATAATATTAATAAAATTAATTTGTTTAAACCGATAAAAACAGTAATTTATTAAAGAAAATAATTAATATCATACGTTCAAAGTTTGGGTTCAATCTGATACGAAGGGAAGGTCTAGTTCGAGAATTAGCTACGTAATAAAAATACGTTAAATAGGAAAGAACAAGCGGCCGGGCTCATTTCCTAAAGTTTCGCCCGCAGCTAGCCATAAATTTTTTTCATCCATAAAACTTTTATTTTTTTTGCAGCTCAATAAAAGGGTTCTTTACGTACTGATAGTTTTTAATTATTAACTTTGTGTTTATCTTAATAATAATATAGGATTCCCTATAATAAATTTATTCCGTGTTTTTTATTGTTATTTCCATAAATGTATTATATTCACGGAATTTATAGCCTCAAAATGTATAGATTTTTAGTTATTTTTCCGTAAATATAGAAATTACGGATAAATCTTTTACAGGAATTATATCTTCTAACAAAAATATTAATTTTTCGTTACTTATAAAGATGATCAACTGGTCCTAATAAATATTGTATTTTGCCTCATCAAAAAGATTTTTTTTTCTTATTAAGTGATCGGCATAGAAAATTTTCTGTTTGGAACCATTAGAAAATTAGACAGATTTATTATGGTTTAGACAATTTTAAAGAAAACCTCAAACTCTGAAAATTATTAGAATTTGGTATATTAATAATGAATGTATTTTATTTTTGTAGAATACAGATAGGTATGGCACGTAATTTAAAACAACATGTTTTAAAACAGATTTTTCGTTTTATTATTTATATATTTAAGATTTAAGGCATTAAGTTTATAATATCGAAATGTTTTAAAACACCGAAGTCGTTTTAAAAACATGTCCCTAAATACAGAATATAAGACAAAATATGTAATAGTGATTCGAATATTAAGTAATTTGATAATATAATAACACAAGTAAACTAACGAAATATATATATATAAGACACAATGTATTATTACAAATAAATAGATTTAAAAGTTGTCAACTATAGGCAAATGATTATTTAATAATACATAAATGTTTAATTTCCAATCAAATCTGACGATAAAATTCGTAAATGTAAAGACTTTTATTTTTATTACATAAGTGGACAACCACCAGCTTGATTATTACCATCACCCGGTTTTTCAGTGGCGATAGATGGAATGGATAGTTTAATGACAACTTCAGTCTGATTCATTTTGTTAGGAAATTTAAAGAATTTAATTGGTTTAGAAATTTTTTTGCTAATTTATACTTTTTTCATACTTTTGGATTGAAAAATGTTTAATATTGTGTGCATTTACGCATGTCTCTGTGTTTGAAAAAACAATTGGTAATTGATCTACAATACGTCAAATTTTGTTACACTTTTTAGCTGAAACATCACAACATACAAATGAATTTTCATACAGACAATATTTTCACCATGTTTCTAAAAATTCAGTATGAGTATTGTCCTAAAATATTATATTGTTGTATTATCTTTATCTATATATATTTAAAATCATTGTAGTCATGTGGTGTCACATTAAGATTAACCCATACAGATGATCCCGGAAAAATTACAGCTGAATATAAGGGATGCCATATACAATCAATATACCTGTGTCCAAAGCGACCCAAAGCCCCCCAAAAAAATAATTCAATTAAATTTTGCGCATCTAGATCCATCTAAAGAGCAAATATTTGCCTGAAATCATCCAAAAATTTTAAGCTTCTTACTCTAGCAGTTCCTGTCTAATCTTTAAATACTTTTTTAAAAAAGAGATGAAATGATGATTTAAAAGAATGATAAAATATAATTGTTTCGATCTAGAATGTACAAAATATAATTGTAAATAATATGTAAAATAAATGTTAAATCATTGCCTACATTGGTTTTTAGCACTTGGATCGGACTTGCAGACGGATTTTTACTGTCTTGACCATGACCACGTCCACGACCACATCTACA